AATATTGATAGCAAAATCGATAAAAATATCCATAACAAAATCGATAAAAATATCTATTACAACATCGATAAATATCGGTAACAAAATCGATAAAAATATTGATAACAAAATCGATAAATATCAATAACAAAATCGATAAAAATATCGGTAAAAAAATCTATAAAACATCGCAAACAAAATAGTTAAAAATGTGGATAAAAATAAAAAAAATATCGATAAAAATATCGATTATTATATCGATGAGTTCCGAAAATATCGATAGCAAAATTGATAACAATATCGATAAAAATTTCGATAAAAATATCGATTGTTTTATCGATAAGCCCCGAGAATGCCGAAATCTCTAAAATCCCAAAATAGTTACCAGATTGAGTCGGCCAAGGATATGATGAGGGTACAGCGATTAGTGGTGACTATTGCAGCGTGACATGATTTATCAAAAAGAAAGTCGAAGAAAAAAATTTAACAAGATGGACTAAATATCACGAAGCGGTATTAACGTATTTTGAACTTCAGCCAGAAATTGAGCTCTTGAAAAGACCCTAGTATGGGAAAACGTCAAATCAGCAACACAAACTTCTTAGTTCCTGGCTGTGGTTTCTACTTTAGAATGTTAAATGTCTTGCAAAATAATGCACTCAGAATACGACTTCGATACCAAGAAACTATACATCAACAAACGGCATAGAAATAGATGCAACGTCGATACTGAGAGCGTTGAAGATTACTATAGAAATGTTTTTGAAAACTTCACAGCACCCGAAAACCAACCCCGTAAATCCGCCACTGTTGTAGACTAGAATTTAGTGCAGAATTTAATGGACCAGTAGACAATTCGTCGCCTACTTTACATCTTTTCTTAGTGACTTTAAAAATGTATACTTCTAATTTGCTAATTTGTTGCTTTATAGCCGACAGTTTACTAGTTTACTCGGTGAGTCGACTGCATAATAATTTCAACCCGCCGCTGCTTTACGTGCCACTTAAAAAAATTGTGTTCCAACACTAAAAACCACATCGCACTCCTTAAATAAACTATAAGCAGCAGCACTTTAAGCTTTGCATGGGAAATTAGAAATGAAAACTGCACAGCACTCAAAGCATTTAACTTTCATGTACAGTTGCTTTTACAACGGTTTTACACCGCACTACAGCTGCAATCCGTTAAAGCCACATTAAAGGCTTGTACATTTGCGGGAAAATTTCTGTTGCCAAGACTTTGCAGCAACATTGCTATCAACATCGAATGGGTCAAGTCGTCAATCTGTTTTAATTAAAATGTGCCACTTAAAGCGCACTTCCGCATGAAGTGTTTACCTTGGTGCTTACGGCCACACTTTCAGCGACACCCCACAACCAATCCGATTTACTTGCGCCGAATGCGCACAGCAAAACATTCACCGCCCCCCCCCCCCTACCAAGGCTGTTCAGCACCTTTGTTTGCTCAGCCAACTAACAGGTAGCCGAGGCCACCCGCAATGCCAACTGACAACAAAAGCAAAAAAAAAACACGAGCGTTAGTTGAATGTTGAGCGCCTTTTAATGGCCATTTGTAATTGCAAATAAAATTCAGTGCAGCTCAATAAATAAAAGAAAACATGGCAAAAAAGAAGAAGCGGAGAAACGGTTCGTAAGTAAACTGCTGCCTTTAATTTTCAGTGCGTCAGCGCAATTCCCTTCAGAATACACAAACAAAAAGGGAAGTATTAAAGCATCAGCCTCATAGTACGTGCACGCTTAATGGACTTGTGCAGGGAGGATGCAGGGTGAAGGAGACAAAGTGCTAGGGCAAACGGAAATAAGTGTTAAGCATTTGTCAGCCATTTTGCCGTGGAAGCAGCAAAGAAGTTGAATTGGCCAGCACCAGCCCCGGCTCGACTTGCGAATAGCTCTGTGCGATTGTGTGTGTGTGTGTCTCAGGTAAAAGACCATGAACCGCGCGCACTATAATTATCACGCAGTGTCTGTCGAAGCTAGAAATTATGTGCACCTTTTCCACTTTTCTTATTTTGCAGGATACGGGTGCACGCCGGCTTAATGGCCTGTTAAGAGGCCATCACCCATGGCAATTTATTTAGTTTCACCTGCATTTGCTTCTTTGGCGCTGTTAAATTTTAAATCCGTGTTAAATTTATGTTTGAAAACACTTCAAATACTTATGTATTTTCCACTTAGTATATACATAGCTACGAATATCTATCCAAGGCACTAAGGCTCTTGCTACGCTGGCAGTGTCAACAACGCGCCTGCGATGGCCAATTATGTAAGCGGCAAGTAATTTACGGTCATTAATCAGAATATCGTGCTGAAAATATAAGCTAAATGAGCTATCATTTTAGTGTCATTCAGAATGGATGGAAGAAATGGTAATGAGCTGCCGGATAAGATTTAAGTAAACTTAACGAAATTAACTGGAATTAAAATAGAAATAATTTACCACCACTACTAAGGCAAATTACACTGTGCGACAGTAAGTTTTACACACAATCAATATGCGTATTTAGTTTTTCTTTCTGACGTCAATATTGTTCTTAAAAGGACCCTTAAATTTTAAAGATATGGTTAATTCAAAAAATTATTAAAAAACTCAGTGCAATGTCGAATAACAGACAGTTTTGCCAGATTCACAATTTTAATTGCAAGTTACAGTTTTTTAGACAAGCTTATAGTTTTGTAAACTACCTCTTGTATAAATTACAGCTTTTTCGAAATTTCCGATTTGAACGAATAAATTAAAATTTCTCTATCGGTTTAAGACGAAAGGCGTCGATGGACGAGCGCTTCCATATTTGAAAGAAATGGTTTCGGCTGTCCTTTGCCTTCCAGTAGCTACAACAAATGGGGAAAGAATATTTTTCCAAATTGAATTGAAAAAAGCACCCTGAGGTATTTAAGAACTGAAGATTTCTTTAAAAAAGTGCTTCAGGAGGTACTAAATTTTAGGTGTCGAATCAAATGCTCAAGAAAATCAACAAAGAAATTTACCAAAAATAATGAAACTGAATTTCATAAAGAAACATTTTTTTTTTTAATTTTCGTCGTTTTGAATATTTTGATTTTTTCTCCGGAAATTTACAGTTTGTAGGAAAAATAAATCTGGCAACACCGGTATCAAACGAAAGATAAAATTCAGTACGATTAAAAAAAGTTTTTTGGTGCATAACCACGAATAAGTACTGAAAAAAGTCCTTTTAAAATTTTATCCTTGAATATACTTGAAAATTTGCAATATTTATATTATATTACTGTATTAGCTTAAAAAATAAAACTATTTTTTCCTTATGAACTAGAAAACATAATTTTTAAGTTCTGCAGAATTTTCGCTTTTGTTACATACATATGTATTTAACCGACTTCACAAAAAAGAGGAAGTTATCAATTCATCGGAATATTTTTTTTTGTATGTTGCCGCTTAACTTTGGACCACGTTAACCGATTTCTATAGTTATTTTTTTAAAGGTGCTGCCTCGCAGGTGGTCCCATACTAATTTAGGCTAAGTCCTATTATTGGATCATGAAGAAATTAACGATAATCTTAAATTTTTATATGAGAATTGAAGTCGGTTTTTTTCACCCAATATTTCTTTACCTATTCATCGGCTTTCTTCTTTAGCAACTTGATTTTTTTGTAACAGAACAGGCCTTAACACAAAGGCAAAAATTTGACACAGAACCTGTTATTTTTTAAATTTTTCTTCTGTTAAAGTGTTTTTGTTTTCATATTTTCATAAAAAAAATCTGGAATGATTAATTAATTTGTCAGAAACTATCAGACCTATCGAAAAGTGATGTATATACGTTCTATGTAGAATTTTGTTAGCTCTCATTTGCCGTATTTCATATTAAGATTGCTAAATTGGTTCGTTATGTATACGTGATTACGTATAAGCACTTTTTGTTTTAAGCTGAATAACGGTAAATTGAAAATATCTTGAAAACTTATACCTAGAATAAAAAATTAAGTCGATTTTCGGAATCAGCGAGCAATTCTTTATANTTCTATGTAGAATTTTGTTAGCTCTCATTTGCCGTATTTCATATTAAGATTGCTAAATTGGTTCGTTATGTATACGTGATTACGTATAAGCACTTTTTGTTTTAAGCTGAATAACGGTAAATTGAAAATATCTTGAAAACTTATACCTAGAATAAAAAATTAAGTCGATTTTCGGAATCAGCGAGCAATTCTTTATAGGAGTCGGATAGTGGCATCCATTGAACATTTTTGCTGTAAACTAGTGTAATGTGCTTGATTCAGAAATGACAATGGCGTGAGTATTTGACACCCACACCTGATTTAAAGGACCCTTTAATAAATAAAGGACAAAAGACGTCCCTTATTTACAAAACATATGCAAAGAACAAAACGGTAAAATAAAGGACTGCACTTAAAAATAAAGGACGTACAGTCACCGTAGGTATTACTAAAGTTTGTAACTTCGATTGATTAAAATTCAGAAATATATAAGTGAGGGTTTCGAAACACACAAAATATTCAAAATACTTTCGAATCTATCGGCAAATATAGTAAAACTATGTTTTCTGTTTCTTGTTCGACGTCAGGGTTTTTTTGTAAAGGACTTTGTAGTTTTAGAGATATGCTTTATTTCAAAAATGATGTAAAAAATTCAGTGTAAAGTAAAATAGTAGTATGGGCACCAAATGAAAGAGAAAATTCCGTTTCAAAGATTTCGCAAATTACCAATAAAATATCATTAGACGTGTTACGAAAGGAATTCTAGTATTCGTAAGAGTTTTAACTTTCTTTGTAAGAACTTCATACATATTTCACACGACTCACATAATATCTTTACCCGGTATATAACGCATAATTCACGCCGAGCATTTCGGTAAGAACGGCTTCAGATTCAGTGAAATAAAATATTGTTATTTTTTTGTTTTTGTATAGCTGGTTACCCTAGAAAAATATCAACAATTTGTTCCTTGGAATCAAATTAAAACGCAGTGTTGCTACAACAAATTCACTTCCGTTGCCAAGACAAAGGAAGTCAACAATTTCTGGCATTGATTATTGAAATTTTCGCCAAACTAGATGGAGGTAAATTTCTACAAAAATGCCCCTACGAGAGGCTGTGGAAGTGGATAAGATTGGTGAAATAAATGCGAAAATTGCTGAGCTGAAGAAACGTATATTACTAGCAGGTAAGTGTAACCTACTGAGACAATAGAAATAAACACTTTTCGACTTAAACCACTCTATCGTTTCTACCACCAGAAGGACAAAAGACAGCTAATGCCGCCGAATGGCAGAAACAAAATCGCATAAATCTCGAAACCATCACCACGCTCAAGAAGGAGATTAAAGAGCTGACCAACAGATGTGGACAGCTGCGCAATCCACTACAGCGAGCGGTCATTATCAAAGAAGAGCCACCAAATGCAGAGGTGCGCAAAGCAAAAAGTGCTTCAACCATCACTGCAATCGCTGTGGGTAAGATGAGCTACCCGATTGGGGCACGAAGTGTAGAGGACGCAATCTTCCTGACCGATTTAAAAATCACCGAACAACGCAAGCAATTGGATTTACTGCGACATCGCTTCAAGTGCCGTAAAGAGCGCTTAGGTAAATTAGTGCAGCAGTTTCGTGAGTTGAACACAGCCAAATCGGCTAAGGCACAGAATATGGGTGAGAAGCCGCCAGAGACTTTGGAAGAGGATGCCAATAGAAAGGTTTGTGAGTGGCGATTTTCTTTAGTTGACTTTCGATTAGAGTGCAGTTTTTATTGCCAAACAGTTGGTGTGTCAACTAGAGAATGAAATACATCGCACCAACGTGCAGTGGATGGAAGCGGAGCACATACGCAAGAAATATCGCTCCATTGAAGCCTCGCTAATGAATGATGCTGAGCGATTCGAGCGTAGTCTGCGCGAGTTGGAGGCAGCGCTTAGTGAGCAGCAAGCAGAGATCGATAGGTTGCAGGTAAGCGGAGTTGCCCCAATTTTTCTCTTTCATACACACCCGGCATTTTACTCCTGCAGCAAGTGCATAACGAGGCCATCGAGATGCGCGATGCCGCCAAAGCGATACTCCAGCGGCAAGAACAGCAAGCGCATCTATCACAGAAGACACGTGAGCGCCAAGCGCTTGATTTCCGTAAGCAGGTAGAGGCGCGTAAATTAGAGCTGGAACGTATTGGCCGTAAACTGTTTGTGGAAAACAAAACACTTGTGCATCAAGACAGCCTTGGCTCGAGTTCCGGTGATCAGCTCACAGCGAAAACCGAAACTGAAATGGATGAGACAACGCAGCTTCAGAACTTGACAGCGGAAATGGAGAATATTTTTAAACATCTAATGGAGGTAAGCGGTGCAACTACGCCCGCTGAAGTCTACGACCGTTTCTGTTCGCAAAAAGAATCTGCCGGACGGTTGTCATATCTGCGAAACGCTGCTGAGAAAGAGAAGTCGCTATTGGAGGCGCAGAAGGAGCAACTGACACTTTCATTAGAGGCAATGAAGTTCTCAGATGTAAAGGAAAGTGAGGTGTAAGTGGTGGAAAGTCGAGATTTTGCAGTCGTATTTTTTAACCTTAACCTTTGGTTTTCTTTAGCAACCAAGAGGTAATCGAGAAAATAAAAACAACGATTGCCGATCTGGATATGGAGCGTCAAAAGAACATAGAAGACTCAGAGCATACGCTAACTGTTTCGAAATTCATCAAGGATCATTTGAGCGAAATGATTTTTAAGCTACAGGAAGTAGACGAGAGTCATATTAATCTAAAGGCGAAGGGTCTTTACATACATGTAGAAAATTTGCCCAATTTCTTGGCTAACGAGGCGCAAGATGATGACTTCATAGAGGTGAGTGTGAAAGTACTTAATCAGTTACTGAAGTAAGGTTAAGCCAGTTTTAACTAGTTTGGGATAGAATTTTTAGGTTTTGCATTTCTTATAGCACACATACTCATACATATGTATGATTGCCTGTAGTTGGGATCTGCGTAATAAATACCAAACGAATCTAAACCTATACATCGCACGAAACTATTTCATTGAGTCAACGGGCTTAGACGGAAGCGTAAACCCTGTGTTTTTCTCTTCCGACACACATTAGAAGACGGATAACTTTTAGTTTTTCTTTATAATAACGGCTTTATATAAATACTTAATCCTTGTGGAATGTTGCGCTTTAACTCATAGCTTCCCTCTGGCTACATGTTGCACCTTCCATGAATATTGATTCGGGAACCATGAACTTGAAAATGTACAGAAGTACAATTCTTTGACTGAAGCTACGCCATCCGCTGCTTTCAAGTATTCAAAATTCAATAGTTGCTGCTTTCTGGGCCTTAGACCATGGCCTGAAGAGGATTTTTAGTACACCATGTTTTGGTTTTTTGCAGTCTAAGTTATCGGCAATCACAACAGCCAAGCAAAAATTTTCCATGAGGTGTATAATACGAAGTCACTAAGGTTTGAAACCTGAAAGTGTTTCGTCAATTATTAGTAACCGTTCTTTGTTAGAGTTACTGATCATATCGACAGCTCCGGATATGTAATTAAATAAATTTCTGATATCTACTTACTTACTGGCCATAGTTCACAGCAGTGATACTTAGTAGTTGGAGTTGGTCTGTATTTAAATACATACGCTACGATTAGGTTATAAATATTGCTCCATCTGTTACTCAAAAGCCGAAATACCTGGAATCATGGGTACCAAGAGAAGGTTCTTAAACAATGCATTCCCTATATACAAAATGATATCTCTTAGGATAATAGTGTAAGGTTGCCACTTAGTTTCGATTCTACATATCGCAATATGGACATCAAACGAAAGTTATTATTGAGAACTTTGGTCAGAAAATATTTTCCATCAGGGTTGACACGCTTCTATGTAATAAAAATTTGTATTTTGTTAATTTTAATCAGCATTTTTGTATGTGTACATATACGCTCAACATATGTACCATACGCTGGAATGAACGTATTTCCGAATAGGGTTGCCACCTAAATTTTAGAGTAAGAAATTTACTTAATAGATATCGAAATTCAAAATTTTTTTTACTTCCAAAATATTTTTTGAAAGCTGTCCAAATTTTGAAAACTTTGAAAATTATATGCACTCCGCGCAAAGCTCGGTCAACCTGGTACTATAGTCTTATTTTGCTTGCATTTTTGTGATTTTTCTTTGATGTTTTTGTAATGTGTTGAGAAATTATTTAATTATTTTTCCCCCCTGCAACACAGATTTTAAAATTCAAACTACAGCGTTGCCAAGAGCTGAGCAAACCCCCCGAAGGAGCACCACCTGACATACCGAAATTGGAAATTGAGGTGAGTTAAAGAATACATTTAACTTGATCGGCCTACCTTTCTTGTTTGCTTTTTATCATTTTTTCTACACTTCTTTTTAACGAATAGAGCGATGAACTTTATCCACCAGCGGAGCCACCAAAGTCGCCCATCGTCGCTGAGGGTGAGAAGCCGCAACCGATGCCTTTATGCTATTACAATCTACTAGCCGGACGCGCACAACGTGCTGCTGGCACCTCATCCTCTTCTCCGGAGCAGGCACCGGCCGCAGGTAGGCCGCACATTGAAAAACTCAGTTTTCGTGCATTTTTTTTCTCACCTATTTAGCTCAATTTTCCAATTAAATTTATATGGATTTTATACATCTTCTTTTTCTACCACACAGCTGCTACGCCGGACGAGGAGAGTGAGGTGCCCACGCGTCAATACCTGAAGCGGCAGTCTGTGCTCATTGTGGATTCCAAGTCGAGGCGTAAACCTTTTCGGCCAACGCCCGTTGGCAGAAGGAAATAAATGTGTGTGCTGGCGTGAGTGGCTGCAACAACAACAAAACAAAAATAAACACAAAATAAAAATAATTTTAAAATGAAATCTACCAAAAATTTACACAATTTGCTACGCCACTCAAGCATGGTGGTTGCAGACTGCATCCGTGCAACAACAGTTAGGGCTTAACGGCACGAGGAGCAAGTACATAGCTTAAAATGAAGAGCATATTGGAAGCATGAAATTCCAGCTGAACCGCAAATTCTGTCCATCTTAATTAAATCAAAATATATGACTTACAGCGCAAAAGTATGCAGTAAGTGTATGCAAGCTCCCAAAAGTATGCATTAAATTTTAATCTCACATTGTAAAGCTGGAACCACAGATTCCCATTCAGAAACGTTGTGAATCTGTGCATAGAATGAATGAATTTTCTGTTTCGAAGCAGAGAATATAATTTGATGTTGTTAATAAGAGCTTTGTTGTTATTTAGGTATCTCATGCTTAATGACCACTCGCCCGCTCGGTCGGTTGCACTGCAGTGGCGTTTTGCTTCTTTTTGAAGTCAGCGCCAGCAAATGCACTAATAATGTTAAACGAAAAACATGGCCTGCCCTGTTACTAAACGTGAAGAATAACAAATTGCAATGAGCAGCGCTACAGCGCCTGTTGGCATGCTATGAAAAACAGCACTTTTTCATTACGCTCAGTACACTGGCCAAATATTTACTCCTGCTGCTGTTGTTGCCACCACATTTGTTGGTCAAGTGCAGGCAACATGCACAAGCTAACGTTTCGATGCGCCAACCGGGGTAGTTTAAGGGTAAAAAAATAAAGAAATAAATATAGCCAATTCAAAAGAGATATAAAAGGAGTCACATGAAAGGATTTTGTGGTGCACATATTATATGCGTTGTTGTTGTTGTTGTTGTTGTCATTGTTGCAACAACTGTTGAACTTGTTAAGAGCACAACAAGCAGCAGTCACCATGGCCATTAACTCATCGTACAGACACGCATACACAAGTGAATACTCGTGTTCTTATTCCCTTGCCTCTGGCACGTGCAGACATATTTAGCTACCAACATCAGCATAGTCGTCGGTATTCGGTTTAAGCTGTCAGCCAACCAACCAACCATGCAACCAAGCGACCTAGCTAACTATCATAAGTGGGGGCAATATGGATTTCAAAGGAAGCCGTTAGGTGGATTAGTAAGAGCATGAGATTGAAGACAGCTAACGTCATGTTAGCATATAATTTGCTAATGTTTACTTGACCGCCCCTAATTGCATGCTAAGTATTTTTGCATATGACTGGAATATTTAATTGCAAGCTCAACACACACACACACACTTTGCGGATGCACTTAAGTATGAACATTTGCCAGCGTATGAAGCTACCTTTATTTCGAGCTATGTACCTTCACCAATGACCGTCACGATGACAAGTTCACAATCGAATGCGTGGCTTTCATTTCGGCATAGGGGTGCCTTAAGCAATTAGTTAGTTGGGGCTTTTATGGATATACATATGTATGTAATCGCACAATACTCATACGTGTACATATACTTCTTTCAGTGAGCGCAGATTGAAATATGAATCGCTTAAATATGCATAGCGACATAATTCATGTGTTTGCATTAGCTTAGTACAACATATACATATACATAGATATGTATCTTGCCAAGCGTTGAACAAATATTTGTTAAAGATTTTTAGATTTGCAAACATTTATAGATACCGTGCTCGGCATTTGAACGAGGCGCTGGTTAATACACCTTGGACCAAATGAAGCTGTCATTTTTAGTTTAGTTGATAGTTTTTTGTAGGCCCCGTGATAATAACGAACATACATATTGAACCGACGTGGATGGTTCCGTGCGCAGAAGTTCACGTAAGTGGGCAAAACCTTTGACTGTCATTCACCTGGGAGTGGCCAGAAGTGATTATTTTGCGTAGGGTTAAAATCGCAGCTCACAACATCCGGATATTTATAACCGCGCCCAAACACGCGAGCGTCCCGCCACGTTCAAACCCCGCCTAATTAAAAAAAGCCTCGGATGAGACCCCCTTCTTTTGATGGCGACCGCGGAAACCTATAAAGGATTATGGTTGGATGGTATGCACCTGGAATATCTGCACCCTTAATGCACGGCTGGTTGATGTCCTCGGGAAGACAAAGGCTGGCATCAACGCCATCCAAGCTAAGTGTGGAGCCTTTCGACGCCTACTACAGTTGCCACGTAAAGGAGCGCCAATTCGGTGTTGGATTCGTGGTAGGAGAGAGACTCCGTCGCCGAGTATTGGCGTTCACCTCAGTGGAAAAAGTCTAGCCACAATCGGCATCAAAGGTAGATTCCTAAACATTTCGCTCATCTGTGCCTTTACGCATTGGCGACGGTGAGTACCGCAGACGATGGAGCTTTACAATGACATACATAGGTACAGTACAGCGAGTTAAAAAACACAGTGGCTCCGCTGGCTTGGCCATGCCTTTTGGATGGACACTGACGCTCCAGCTCTGAAAATGTTCAATCCGGAAACCTCTGGTGGTTACCAGAGGAAAAGGGAGACTCCGCACTGCGATGAAAAGACCAAGTGTAGAAGCACTTGGCTTCACTCAGCATTTCCAATTGCTTTGTTGAACTCGGTCAAAATCGCTTAGGCGGTTATAGCGCTAAATAAAAATAAAAATAAAAATAAAAATAAAAATAAAAATAAAAATAAATATAAAAATACTAGTGAAGCCGCAAGGCGTTAAAATGCCAAAATTGTATTTCACATTTTGAACGGGTTGGAACGCTATTCGAAAACCTCAAAAAATGTTTCAAATTATACATCCAAAGCCATTTTTTCATGGAAATTTTATGATAGCGTCGATGGTCTCACGGATGAAGTGAGCTCAAGCTCAAGAAAAAATTTATTCACGGCTTAAGCTAACTTTTTATACATGAGATACTCTATTTCTTACCTAACACTCTCTTGTAAGAATGAAAAGCGCCATAATCCTTTTTAACGCCATGTTCAGTAATCTGGTTAGTCTGTTCTTGTCTTATTTGGATAGGATATTTAAATTCCATCATTTAGTTAATTTAAGTCAAAGACTTATTTATATCTTCCAAACCGTAACGTATCCACGTATCCACCTACAGATGTAGTTGTGCTCAGAAGTGCAAAGAAATGGGTTCTAGGATCTTAATTATGGATGCGTACCACCTAACTCAGCACCAGAAAAATGTTATTCTGATTCAGCAGGCTGATATACGAATACATCTATTCACTCTTAAGCATGTGCAGTGCTGTCTTGCATGTAAACCATCGCTTTCACTTGCTTTCGCACATAACTTTTTTCATTATCCTTTAATGGATAACTTGCCACTTCAGCCACTTCTCCACTTACCTACTCATCTTCTTTATTTCACTTGAGTTCTTCATTTCCAGAGGCACACGCGGTCCGCATGCGAATGCGATGCTTTCAAACTTTTGTTTTTTGGTGTTGTTCGGGTATTGTTTTTTTTGCCTTTTTACATTCATACAGCGTGCGCCATGTCCAGTCTGAAAGACATAGCAGCTACTGTCCGCAAGAGGATAATCAACTTGACAGTGAGTTACTTTCATCACTGGCAGTCTGTAGCGTGCGGTGCACCGTAAGTGGATGAAGATCATGTGTAATAGGAAATGTGGATTAGTGTATGTCTCTGTATGCGATGGTGTCACGCTACAGGACTTAATCACCGCCACTGAATGGTTATCATGCTGTTTGTTATTGTGTGGTTAATTAATCACAATGTGATGCTTGGAGGCAAAGAAAACCAACAGGATTCGGATAGCCAATACAGATGATGGTTTCCGGGGCACAGAGAAAAATTCGTATATATGTATGCATAGTACATATATATATGCAAGGACGCAAAAACCAATCGACAGAATGGAAATCAAATAGTAACTGGTAGAGCAAGTATGAATTAATGCATTTGTAATTACATGCTCAACCATTAAATAAGTTCACAGTATGCATCTTGTTGTCTAGTGATTATAGTGATGCTTCTACATCCTTCCAACAGCAACACTAATTGAGTGAACCATAGGTACACAAGATAGTAAAGCAAGTGGGTATAAGGACTACGGTAGCGGAAGTGTATTTTACCAGGAAACTTTGTAAAGCATATTTGTATACACCAGTGTTATCTTTAAAAAATTTCTCATGCTAATTCAGCTTGTATATGACCAACCGAAATTGAACGAAGTGCGTTAAAAGCTAACTACATTCCCAATTTTTGTTTTGCATAGGTTTTTGATTTGACGTTTCACTCAGTGAATTGAAATGCAAACGCACTCAAGCTTATTTCGGGTAACGCAGAAAAGTTAAATTAAAAAATTAAATTGCTAAATTAACAGGACGACGAATGATGGATGTGTACGGAGTCAAGATCTAAGCCGCCAGACACAAATGACAGACCAGCAGTGGGGAGGTAGTTCAGGAATTAAAAATAGTACAAATAACAATTTTGTGCTCGAAAAGCACCTAATATGGCGTCGAGGAGTTGATAAGGTGCACGCTTAAACTCTACTGATGAAAGCATGCCCGACGACTGGAACGTACTTAAGTGTGCTCAGTCGAATCCATAAGAATGCTATGTTAGCTATTTAAAGTTGAACTTTTTGAAGTTGATTTAAAATATTTCTCCTTATGACGAGATGGTTTATTTTGTGAGAATCAACAAATATTTGTAATTTTTTTTCGAAAACTTATGTTAAGATATATTTGGTAAGGTGTTAAACATCGGGTCTTTGCAAAAAGTAATATTTTATTGCGGATTTCGATAGAATCCTCTCCCCTCACTGGCGATCAAATTTTTGTGAAAGTTAATTCATAAAATAGCTTTCATGAGATTTTCCTACAAATTATGTTCTGAGTTCACTTCCACTGAAGTTATGTATTTCTGGACTGCGTGGAAATTAAGTCTGAAATAATTTCCATTTTTTCATGAAAGTCATATCCGTGAAAGTTGCGTCAGCTTAACCTTGCGAAAAATCTTG